GTTAGAAGCCGTAGATACATGGAACAACGGTATTTTGATGGGATGGAAATATGCAGCCATATTGGTATTCCAGACCTTTTTATCACTTTTACATGCAATCCAAATTGTCTAGAAATTCAAAGGCTACTTAACAAAGTTAATATTCAACCTCATGATTGTCCAGATATTATATCAAGGGTGTTTAAAATTAAGTTAGACGAGTTGTTGTGTGATCTAACAAAGAAGCATGTCTTAGGGAGGATGGTTGCATGTAAGTTGTATTTACTAAATAATCGTCAAGTTTTCATTATGTGACTTTATTTATATAAAAGGAATATGTTTTATATACATGTTTTGTTACTAATATCAATATTTTCATATATATATATATATATATATATATATATATATATATATATATATATATATATATATATATATATATATATATATATATATATATATATATATATATATATATATATATATATATATATATATATATATATATATATATATATATATATATATATATATATATATATATATATATACACACACACACAATTGAGTTCGAAAAGCGCGGATTAGCACATGCATATATTCTTTTATTCATGAATCCCTCAAGCAAGTATCCCACTCCATATGACATAAACAATATCATTTCAACAGAGATACCATCTGAAAATGATGATAGACAATTGTATCATTTGGTCAAGACACATATGATTCATAGGCCATGTGGTTTAGCAAATCAGTCTTCGCCTTGCATGAAAAATGGGAAGTGCTCTAAATTCTTTCCCAAACAATATCAGCCTCAAACAGTTGTTGATCACAATGGATATCCTATGTACAAAAGAAGGGAAACTAGAATTACAGTGATGAAGAAGAATGTAGTGCTCGATAACAGATACGTTGTTCCTTATAACCCATTTCTATTGAAGAAATTTCAGGGGCACATAAATATGGAGTGGTGTAATCAGGGTACTTCAGTTAATTACTTATTCAAGTATGTTAACAAGGGGTGTGGCATAATTACCGCAATTGTTGTCGATAAGGAGACAGACGAATCTTCATATATTAGAAATGTCGACGAAATCAAGCAATATCTTTATTGTAGACATGTCTCACCAAGTGAAGCATGTTGGAGGATCTTTTCATTTCATATTCATGGGAGATCTCCTGCAGTTGAAAGGTTGTATTTTCATCTTCAGGGCGACAATCCGGTTTACTATACTGATTATGAACTGATAGATGAAGTCCTTGACAAACCGAGTGTGAAAGAATCAATGTTTATTGCTTGGATGGAAGCAAACAAGACATATGCAGAGGCAAGAAATATGACATACTCTAATTTTTTGACCAAGTTTGTTTATGATAAAAGATATCGAAAATGAAGACCATGTAAGAGAGGCCATACAATTGGAAGACTAATTTGTGTTCCTCCAAGTACCGGTGAGTTATATTACTTAAGAATGATGCTTACAGTTGTCAAGGGGCCAACATGTTATGACGATATTTAAAAAGTGGGATAATTCAGGATACTTTTCGAGACGCATGCTTCGAAATGGGCTTTCTTAACGATGACAAGGAGTATGTTACAGCCGTAAATAAGGAGAAGGATTGGGGTTCTGGACACTTTCTGAGAAAGTTATTTGTTACTATGTTACTGTCTGGAATAATTAGTAGACCATGTCATGTTTTGGAAAAAACTTGGAGCACGTTATCTGATGGCACTCTTTATCAACAAAGACAAGTAACAAATAGAAGAGGTACATTCCAATTTTTTAATTTTTTCATAGTATATTAATATATTTTTTAATAGATGACTGATCAATGTTACTGTTACAATTATATATCAACAAGATATTGGATACAAATTATTTATAAACATTATGATAGGTATTATTTAAAAACTATGCACACAATTGTATTTTGTAATAAACTTCCAATTTATTTGAACAATGTTTCTACAGAAAAAATCTGCATATGACTGATACTAATGTAGGTCTTAATGCAGCCGTGTATAACTTCATATTGATGTACATACTGCTTCCATTGATACATTTAATTTGTTACCGCCATTTTGTATTTTAGGGTGTTGTTGTAATTTCATTGAAATGCAACATTGTCAATGATATACTCAATGTTGCCGTAAATTTTACTTTGTCGTTCATTCATATAATTTGAACATTTATTTGATTATTGTCATAAATCTGTTGTGATTTGTTGGTTGTATATTTTTTATAGATATGCAGTTGTCAATAACAGAGTTGAGGAATTTGACACTAATTGAGATTGAGAATATGCTGCAACCAAATCAAAGAAGTTTGCATGAATTTAAAGATATGCTGTATCCAGATTTATATGTCACACGCCACGTGGGAAATAGACTGATTTGGGACGAGCGTAATTACAATTCCCAAATGGAACGACAAAATTACCAAACTCTCTATCACGCACTTACAGGTTAGGAATTTAATTTGTATTCACAAGCTGGATTATTAAAATTGGTTTATTTTTGTTATACACACAATATTTTTTCCATTTTAATTAACAGATGAACAACATTCAATATTTGGTACGATTATGAAAGTTGTAGACAAACAAAGAGGAAAGTTATTTTTTCTACATGGTTATGGAGGGACCGGTAAAACTTTCATGTGGAGAACATTATCAAGTGCACTTATTTCGCAACAAAAAATTGTTCTTACCGTTGCTTCGAGTGGCATAGCTTCTTTATTATCGCCAGGTGGAAGAACCGCTCACTCAAAGTTCAAAATACCAGTGCCAACGCTGGACAACTCTACTTGCAATGTTGACAAAAATGATGAACACTCACAGTTATTTGAAGCAACCGATGTTATAATATGGGACGAAGCTCCTATGTCTTATAAGTACTGTTTTGAGGCATTGGATAAGACACTCAAAGATGTCATGAGCAAACACTGTATCGGGAATAAAATCTTTGGTGGCAAAGTTGTTGTTTTTGGAGGAGATTTTGGACAGATACTTCCAGTTGTTCCAAGAGCAGGGCGTTCTGATATTGTCCATGCATAAATATGCTCATAATATGTATGGGACTATTGTCAAGTTCTAACACTAACAAAAAATATGAGGTTGCAGCAGGGAAGAGACAATACAAGTTCACATGAGTTAGCTGAGTTTTCTAAATGGATCTTAAATGTTGAGGATGGTAAGATATGTGAACCAAATGATGGATTGGTTGAGATAGAGATTCCTCAAGAATTATTGATATCCAAATTTGAGGATCCTATAAAAGCTATTGTTGATAGAACATATCCCAATTTGCGTGACAATTTTCAGGATGTTGGATACCTACAAGGTAAAGCTATTCTTGCATCAACCATTGAAGTTGTGGACAAAATCAACCACTATATACTGGACATGATACCAGGTAATATAATTTTTACTTTAATCTCTCTCTCTCTCTCTCTCTCTCTATATATATATATATATATATATATATATATATATATATATATATATATATATATATATATATATATATATATATATATATATATATATATATATATATATATATATATATATATATATATATATATATATATATATATATATATATATATGCACACAACTTCCAACAACAAATTTTTATCATGTTGGTTCTATTAATGTATTAATATTTACACTTCATGACATTTTTTAGGAGAAGAGAAAGAGTATCTAAGTTTCAATTAAATTGATAGAACCGATACAACTTATACTGAAGCATACGAAGTTCTAACCCCATAATTCCTAAGTAAACTAAGAACATCGGGCCTTCCAAATCATAGGATCAAATTGAAGGTTGGTACCCCCATCATGCCAATGAGAAATTTGGATCAAACTGATGGATTGTGCAATGGAACAAGATTAATTGTTACAAGGTTAGCAAACTACGTCATTTAGGCAAAAATTATGTCCGGAAAAAACATAGGTAACATTTTTTACATTCCTCGAATGTCCATGTCACATTATGAGTCACCGTGGCCATTCAAGTTGATTAGGAGACAATTTCCAATAATTGACTCATATGCAATGACAATTAATAAATCACAAGGTCAATTGCTTGATAATGTCGGATTATATTTTCCTACACCTGTTTTTAGTCATGGGAAATTGTATGTTACAATTTCGAGGGTCACAACCAAGAGTGGTCTTAAAATCTTAATACATGACAAGCAAAATGCACTGTGTTCGACCACTACGAATGTTGTACAGAAAGAAGTCTTCCAAGCACTTTGTTAGTTGGTAATCCTTTTCACCTTATTCTTTGTGATACAAATTAAATCCCATTGTTTAATTTATGTGTTTAAATTCCACATATTTTCATTAGTTTTTAAAAAATGCTTAATATTGAATGTCTTCTTTGATATATTTTTCCATGCAGGTGTGTGATGCGAGTCATTGTTGTTGGTTGGTTCATTCATTTACAAGTTCAACATTGGAATTTATAATATTATGAAGTTTTCTTTGGACTTATAATGATTAAAAATTTGGGTATTATTTTTGCAAGTAATGTAAGTTTTGTTGTATAATTTAATATTACGTTCAAAATTAATTGTATTTTGATTGATTTTTATTAGTTTAATTTTGACACAAGATAGAACTTTGCAAATCAATATTAGATCATGTGATGTGAAAACCATACGAGACCCGTACGATAGCACGAGTTACCCACTAGTTGGAGAAAAAATTAATTATTTTTTCAAGTACAACAATTTCTCTAAAACTATAAAAAAGAATCATGTCAAAATTAATTAAATTTTAAATTATTACTTAATTTTATTAACTAAATCAATTTCTCTAATAAAAAACAAGATTAATTTCTAATGTTAAAATAATTATAGTATTACTCACAAGCATTAATAAAATATTGAAGATTTTAATTCTTAAAGCTTGAAATTAATCAAGTTGTGATTAATCTACAATATAAGAAAAAAGTATATATTTTCTCTTCACTTCTTCTCTTCTGGTAGCGACATATGGCTTCGTTAGAGCTCATTTCATTTGTTTTCTATTTTTTTAATTCAATTGGAATATTTGTATACTACATTCTAACTCTTTTGCCTTCCCTACCTTTCCCATTACTTTTATTCAATTTGTACGTTACAATAAGCAGTTACCAAAGACAGTTCCCACGAACCTTTGTATTCCATTTTCTGCAATTGTTCCGCTCTCCATTATCCCTCTACCTAAATCTACGAAACTCAGGTTTGCGATCGAAGAAGAACATGGAATCAAAAAGGGGAATAGGGCTACGGTGGTTGTGGTTTGAATGTGATCGAAGAAATCTTCACGGTTGGTTGCAGAAAGGGAGTGGTTTTGGGTGAATGGGTAGTTGGTGGCGGAAGGGTTACGCAGTGGAGGGTTTATGGATGAAGACGACACGACGTCACAGACAAGGTACAAAGCTGGGTGCCGCAAAGAGTTTCGGGTCGTATATGGGTCATGTAAGCAAAGAGAATAACCTTGCCGTCGAGAAGCTTCTGCTCAAGGTTTTTTGTTTTTCGATTTCTTTTTCTATCACTTCCGTTTCTTGATTCGGTTACGTAAATGACGTTTCGTTGTTGCATTGGAGTTTGTTTGTTTTTCAACCGTTTTGTGGTTTGTTACAGGGAAGGGAGTTTAGTGAAGATGATGAAACAATTTACTTAGTTTTCAATTTTTGATGATTGTTTATGCATGATTTTGATGTTTTCTTACGCTTTTCAGAGAGTGCGAAAAGTGATATTGGTATTGTTTTTGGTTTATGAATTAGTTTTATTTTTTATGAGAATTCGTTGTGAATATGATTGTAAGTGTGCAACATTTTAATTGTAGATACGTTTCGTGAAGTTAGAAGAAAACGTGAAAAAAGAAACCAGATAATTTATTGTTAAGTTACATTAACATTGAGATGAGATTGAATTTGAATGTATTATGTGATGATGAATGATGAATAATGTATATGCATTTTAAATTTAGATAAAAGAGACGGTGGATTCAAGGGCGAAGGGTAATAATACAGGGTTGATTAAGGGAGACAAAATTGGTGTTGGCATTGGCAATGATCCCGGTGTTGTGCAAAATGGATTTCATCATGTGGCTTATAAAGGTAGTTTTTCTTTTGAATGTAGAACATTTAAAGTTTTTGTTATAATAATGATAATGATATTGGTTTTAACTATTGCACGGACTTACGTTATTGAATGCATGTAACGAATGTCATAAAACGGTAAAGTGGTCGACAAGCAAGATGTTGGGTCAGTTTGTGCTTCGGTTATGCGTTCCACAACTCATGTTGGATAAGTTATGAGAAATCTTATATCTGATGATGGTAACTTACAGTGGATAATGGACTATTCTATTTCCATATGGAATCACTGAATTGATTTGTATTTGGTTTTGATGAATTGCAGTTGTTTGATTTTGTGGATAAAGATTGAGCCAAACATGACATCAACATCACAGTTGCACATAAGTACTACATATCTATCAGTGGCTATAATGTAAGATTTCTTATTCTAATTTATTATGTTTAATTGTGTTTATAGATTTTGGTTATGTATATAGTTTATGAGAGGCAATGGGACATTTGATGGATGTTATTGGCTTCAAAAAGATGCAGAAATATATATCATAACATATTTGAATTACACCTATGATTATTGAGTTTAGGTGAGCCTACAATATTTGTTGTGTGTTTATGACTAAACGTATGTCATTGTAACAATTTATTATGAAGACTAACTGATCAGTGTATATCGCCAAACTCACTATCAATTGTTTGTTTATAAAGTTGCAGATTTTGGCCTTGTAGGAGAAGAATTGGTGACCAAAATGATGACTGCAATCACGGTAGCTTACTGATGGATGGCACCAGAGGTATACCGTCTTTTTTGGGTGATGTTTTATAAGCAGCTTTGTAAACGCTTCATGGTTGCAAATATTGAGGCTTTCAGGAGATATTTAGAAGCAACTGGACTCACTAAACAAGCAACAACTTCAAAAGTGTATAAAAACTATAGTACAAAGCAAGTTTTAACCATGAAAAGACTATATGGAGTTCCTCTTACTGACCTAGACTCCATTAGTTCATTAGTTACTAGCCCAGAAGCAAGTGTTATAACTGCTCTTAATGTGTGGTATTATTCAAAATTTCTCTTTGCAGTTTATGTCTCTGTGCCTTCCTCTTTTAACATGATAATGTATCCTGGTATAAAATATTGTTGCGGGTGAACCTTTTCATGCAGATGTACATGCTGGAAAACGGTGGCTTCTATATGATGGCCGTATTGGATTTCTTGACTTTGGTATGCTTTTTCTTCCTTGTGCGCGGTTTATAGTTTGTAATACTTGTATTGTATTGTTTTGTCGTACTTTAGCCATTTGTTAACTTCCCCAAGGTTTTTCATAGTTTGGCTATACATTTTTTTGGAATTTATCATCTTTGAAAACTCTAATCTTTGGTATTTCCTTTGTTCTTTTACAAACTACGCCTTTTGTCTTCTAAATCACCACACATTTTACAATACTCTAATGTTTGTATTGTACATATATATACACCTTTTTTTGTTGACATTTCTTTTCGTTATTATTATGATTATTATTATATATATATACACTTATGATTGTTTTGTTTAGGTTATTGGTGTCATTTCTATAGTTCTGATATTGGGACCAGTGGTTGAATGCGGAATAACAAGTAGTGAATCGAACATTTTCGATTATTCTGTAATCAGTTGCAGAAAACACTGCAGATAAGTATTGTCAGGGGAAGGGGTATCTGTACAGATGACTACTGATCATGAACCTAATACGGAACGTGGCAGCATTAAGAATAGAGGCGGATTTGTTTCAAACATGCCATGTTCTTCAATTAACCTTGAAATCTATGTATTGTTGATTTTACAAGTTCAATGCTGATTTATCTCACTACTCAATTTTATAACATCTTCTTTCATTTGTGGGTTATATATATATATATATATATATATATATATATATATATATATATATATATTATCTTGATGCTATTTTAAAATAGCAATACTTCTAAGCCTACATCAGCCATCAATTTGAACATACAACAAATCAGATACAACAGTTAATGATTATTGCATTAACCGATTACGTGTGGACCAGTAGCACTTACAACTCTTCAAACAATGTGTTGTGATCACACTATAGAAGTTATACACTCAAGCAAGCCTTATCACTGCCACTACTAGCAATGATGCAGCGCTAAAGTAAACCTCTTTTAGGCTCTTATCCACCTTTTGTATCATATCTTCATCTCTCAATCCCTTCTTTCCTGTATTCTTGCTTATGTTAACAATTGTATTCCTCAGTTTATTTACTCCACAAAAAATCCAAACCAAACCAAAACCCAACCCTGTGTTGAAGACCTTAGATGCACAAAAAGGGGACCCTTCTTCAAGCTAGCTTGCAGATTACAGATAGCACAACAACAAGGCCATTACCAGCAATGCCGACAGAAAATTGGGTGAGGAGTTCAGGAAGCTTTGGGCCAGATTTCTTCAGTGAAAGAATTGTTGTTTCCCGAATTTTCGAGAAGAAAAAACTGGACATTAAAAGTTATTTCTCCAAGGTACCTTACCTATTGAATGCATACTAGACATGAAATTAGTTATTTGTGAAGGAAAATTGCGATCCAAAGCGCAGCGGAAAATTAAAATTTTTCTTTAGTGATCCTTACAAATGGGAATGGTCAGTGATAGAAATCATTACCTTTTGTGATGATTCAAACCTTTGATGTTGAGATCACGAACATTGATGAATAGCAACGTCTCTACTCAGTCCACACGAACAAATCACTTTCGGACACAGTGCTAGCTGCTTATGAACAAAAACTTTGAGTGAGAGAATGAGACAAAATATATGGCTAGAAATCAATACCGAATCTTCATCAAGTCAAATGCTTCAGCGCAAGGGTTCTATTTATAGAGCCACTTATATGGGCTGCAAGCTAAAAGCCCAATTAAGGCTGCAAGCTAAAAGCCCAATTAAGTATATGAGTATCATACCTTATAATATACCGCATATCACTTAAGTGCGTGATACCTTACCACATTCCATATTTCACTTAAGTGCATCGTACCTTACAGTGTTCCTTATTTACTCTATCTCTCATCAACCTGTCCTTATGTGTGTGACCTTGTAGGTTTTCGTGACGTTGACAATTATATTAAATTACACATTTAACATAATAAACAGTGAGTGGTATCTAGCAACACATCACTTCGACCAAAGTCACTAAAATGTCATATGATCTGACAAAACCTTTCTATGATAATATTTGTGTGTACAATTACCCTTTTACCCTTATGTCTATATTGAACACAAGGCATAAATCGTGTCACTCTTGTCCAGTTCAATATTGGGCCCTTAGACATTTATCCTGTTATGTAGGGTGGACAAATTTCATCTAGGTCACTCATGTCCTTCAGCATGCTTTGTGAAGTATCCATCAACTGTATTTATAGTCATCTAGTTACGAATAACATTTGATCAGCAATAAAGTACTTAACTCCACATCTAAGGTCCATAGTGGTTTCAGGTCGAAGGGTGATATACACCCGTATCACCATGAGAATAAATTATGACACCTTGCATAACATTTTATGTAGTATTCTCATAGCGGGTCAACCCATTATAAATATTACTCCTAATATTCATACCTATGTCAAGACTTGATAACTCCCTATCCATGATCCATGAGATGTAATCATCAGTCTATCCTCATAATAATCTCAATGATTTAATGTTATCCCACTTTGCAATAAAGCTCGATTACAGATATTTTAAGAATAATGTTCTTATGTTTAATGTGATCTCATGATTAAGTCACACTTAATATTTCATTAAACAAACGAACTATTCTAGAGACTCTATTATTTTGGAAAAGTAAACATAATAAAGAAATTTCTTTTATTATTAATAAATAATTCGATACAAGTACCCAAAGTATTGGCCTCTAGGGCTTACACCAACAATTTGACCAACCATAAAAGAACTTTTTCGGTTCTAACTTATAAGCCTAATAGTTCCAAGCTCTTAAAATTTTCACAGGTAGACTCAGAATTTGTGGAAGTATTATCATTCACGTATCTATCATGTTTACTTATAAGTATATGTCACTTCATTTTTATAGCAGCAATTGAGTTTGAATTTTTGCAGTGCTACAAAGCTATTTACTAATAGAGTTTAATTCCCTTCCGCAGGCTTTGTTTATCAAAGAGCACATTGCAATATGTGACATGCTAAAATTAAGTCAAACTCTTTTCATCTGTTGCATGACTTGGCTCCATTTACGGTCATTTTTTGCATTGAAAAATAATGCGACCGATATTGTTTTTCTTTTCTTACAGAAACACTATCCTGATTTTGATGATGAGCAACTCTGTAGGTATGCAAGATTGGTAACTTTAGCAGTCATTGCAAAAATCCATACAATTAATTGGATTGTAGAGCTCTTACAAACCGATACTCTTCGGGCATCAATGAGGATCAACTGGTAAGTCTAAAATACATTGCAGACATATCTACTTTGAATGAGACTAAAGAATTTGTCTATACAACAACAATGAAACTTTTTATTTTACTTTGACAGGTATGGGTTTTACTTTGGCAGTATATTTCGCAAGCATGCTTTTGTAGTTAATAACTTTTTTATTACGATTAATTTGTTCTAAAATAATGGATCTTCTTCTATCTATCAGTTTATAGAGATAGAGAAAGGGGATTCCCGATGTATAATGAATTAGAAGAAACTTACTGATGATTCTGATTGGCAAATGGGAAGATTTAATATATGTGTTGGCTGGAAATTTCGACTAAGGATTTTTAAGTAAACTCGAATATACTTCACAATATTCCACTACTTTATTTATGTGAAGCCATAAAGGTTGAGATTCAAATTGAGTAAAATTTATTAGAAAGGTTTACCAAATTCGAATTATTGAATAAAGATTGTTATTCAAAATGTGGCTAAGGTTTCAAGCAGTTTTCGACCATCTTCAGAGATTGGCGCTCAAGATAAGAAGGAGATTCAAATTCAAATATTTTGATCTTATCCGAAAGGACGCGTGGAAGGCTTTGAGTTCGTCGAAGACATGCAAACAGAAACGTGGCATTAATTCGTGTAGAAGACCGTTAGGGTCGAAGTAGTATAAATAGTGGCCTTAGTATTCCGATTAAAGGGGGTGAACATCTTTGTACAAATTACTCAAAAATTACTCAAAGTACCAAGTGTTAAAGAGAAACGAGTTTATTGAAGATGTACGTATGATACACCCATTTAATATAAATGCATTTACTTTATGCAAAATTTCCAATAACATTTACTTAAGTCTTTTACCATTTCAAGTTTAGAAGTAATTTTACTTTCACTTTATATGCATTTTAATTCGACACTTGAAGCCATTCGTCTTCATATATAAAACATGTTAAAATACAACAATCAAGTTAAAGGATTAATAAAGACACTCGTGTCCTGAGATCAATCTGATCGATCTCGCAAGTAACTGGATCCGCGAAAGGATTTGGAAGATCAGCGGTTGTTTACCAAAATTCGAGGGTAAACAATATGATGTCGAGGTCATGGAAGCACTCAAAGAGATATATGATAATGATGTTGAGAAGCTGGACTTGATTATCAGTCTCCATGCAAAGAATAAGATAAAAGGATTTTCTATAAGTGAAACCGCTTTCTTTATCTTTGTGAATGTAATCATGGATTCAAGGTAAGTTTTCATCTCTATGTAGTGTGCAACTAAAATTTGATTTCGAATCTTATGGTTTTATGTGGTGATTATGGTGTTTAGGAAAATCCCTTAAAGAAGATCGCTTTTTATGCCACGGATGTTGATGTGACGGAATAGAAGGGAGATATATTGGTTGTTGGTGTTACGGAGAAATACCTAACAAGAGACTCAAAATCAAGATTTGAGAATCTGATCTTGAGCATGATTGACTCTAAGTTGAATGGTATGTTAGTTGAGGTCTCTTCTAAAGAGGACTTCTTTGCTAAAGTTGGTCAATCCACTGTTCTTAGAATTAAAGGACTTGGATCAAAGAGGGTTGGTTTGATTGGTCTTGGACAATCACCTTCAACTACTACACTGTTCAAGGGTTTCAGTGAGGTTGTTGTTGTCGCTGCTAAGTCTGCTCAAGCTAGCAGCAATGTTGCCATTGTTCTTACTTCTTTTGAAGGACTTTCTTCAGAATTGAAGCTTAGTACTGCATTTTCAATTGCATCTGGTAATGATTTTTGTGATTTATGATTGTTTAGTGTATGTGTGTGTGCGCTTGTGAATGTTAGCTTGTGATTTTTATAGTTGTATTGCTTGAATTGTGTTAGGAGTTGTATTGGGATTATTTGAAGATCATAGATATAGGTTGGAATAAAAGAAATCAACACTTAGATCCGTTGGAATTATTGGTCTTGGAACTGGACCTGAATTAGAGAAAAAGCTCAAGTATGCTGAAGATGTTTCTTCTGGAATACTTTTTGGAAGTGAGCTTGTAAATTCTCCTGCTAATATTCTCACTCCAGGTTCATATGTCACTTAAAATTGTATTTTGCAATTTGCATGTATAAATAAATGTACATATGTATATAAGTTTCTCTAAAACTTGATCTGTATTTGGTGATGTTTTTTTCCAGGTGTCTTGGCATAAGAAGCATCTAAGGTTGCTTCCACCTACAATGATGTTTTCACCGCCAAAATATTAGATGTTGAACAATTTAAGGAGTTAAAAATGGTGTTCTATCTGGGTTTTTCCGTAGCCTTAGCAAATCCTTCTCATTTTATCCATCTTTGTTACAAACCTCCAAGTGGTCCTGTCAATGTCAAGCTGGCTTTGGTCGGAGAAGGTTTGACTTTTAATAGGTAATTCACAAAACAATGTGTTTTTAAATCTACAACAATTCAATAGGATAGTGATATATCTGAAATGAGGTTTTCCCACTTGTCAAGCTGGCCAATGCACCAAGAGTGTCCATAATCAAGTTAACCCAAAGTAATTGAACAACCGTTAGTGGAGCAGCTCCTGAAAAATAATGAAGAGAGTTTAATCTCAGTTTCTTGAAACAAATTCAACATTTTTTCAGTGGAGCTCATGAAATTTGACATGGGTGGTTCAACTGTAGTTTTTGGCGCAGAAAAAGCACTTGGTCAAATCAAACCTCTTGGAGTGGAGGTTGGTCATCGAAGTCACAACTTCCCTTTTTCTCTATAATATCTTTGGTCCTTTGATTTTTTTCAATTTTATGACTTTACTTGTAAGATTTCCTATCTCATTTGATATTTTTTCTTAATAGAGACGTAGAGTATGAAGTTTCATTTTATTTTTCTGGTGGCTACTTTGCTTTGAAATGATTTGTTTAAAATACACGGTGGATATATTATATTATGTTTTGTGGTGTAATATAAAGTTGAATAGAGTGGAACATATATTATATACTATATGATCTTTTTCTATAGAAATACGTTGAATTTTAAGTGGTTGGACTTAAATAGTTAATGAATTTTAGTTAATATTATCAAATTGATTCAATATACTTGATTATTGACTAGGACAATTCTTATATAATTTTTGTTAAATAAAAATCAACATAACTAATTATCTTGCAGCTCAAACAAAATTATATCGATTATGTTTTTATATTTAAATTTATTTATATTGCACGTGTATATTTAAAAAAATTACAAATCCAAATTGTATGATAATATGAAATAATTTTAGTTTTTAGTTGTGTTGAGAATATGCAAGAGGATTATATTGGTTTCATAATTAACACAAAGAGAACTTATTGAAACTTGCGGCGATACAGTAAGTGATTGATATAAAGAACTAATTTATTTTAACGCGATATTAGTGTCACGATTGATACAAATAACTAATCTCTATATGAAAATTATTATCAACATTTAAGAATCATTCAATAAAATAGAACGTTTCATGTAATATATTAAAGTTACGAATGTTTCATATATAATTGGATTTTAAAATCAAATATTGAAATTAATATATGTGGGATATGTTGATTAAGTCTATATGTAATTAATTGGACTCCTAATATGCTGATGTTCTTGATCTACTCATTCACAAAACTATTCCCATTTTCTAAATCTCATTACTCATATCAAGAGAAAGTTTAATATTTTAAGTTTTTAAAGAGTCGTGTGTTTATGAGTTAAGTATCAGTGATTTTTCAATCTGACCCTTAATGAAAATTTAATTGAATTAACTTATTATTAATATTATAGTTATCAATTGTCAACAAACTATATTTGAGCATGACAATTTTTTTTTTAAACATAGAGGTTCAAACATCATTTCAATATTTTAATTTTTTGTTGGCACAATAAAGATTATGAAGATTGAATTATAAGTGTCTATTAATATTTTAAAAAATTAAATCATTAACGGGAACACAAAGTTATTTCACTACAAGAAAATGCATACCCAGCCACGTGAAGTTGCCACGTGATTTTCATGTGGCTAAATAAAACAGAAGCATTAAGTGTGTCAGTTACTTTTTCGTTTTAAAAAAAGTAGCGACGTGGGATTCACGTCGCTAATTAAAATGTCACAAAAATTAATTAAATCACAACTTCTAACACTGACGTGTTCAGGTTTTGAAGGAAGAGAAATCAGTTGTAATATTGTTGCGACGTGAAAATCACGTGGCAACGTTGCGGCGTGATTTTCACGTCGCTACTTGGTTTATGTAAATTATCAAAACGTTCCACAACGTTTCTGTTTGCCATTTCTTCATCTTCAACCTTCACTTCCTCTCCATACCCATTTTTTCTTCACCAAAAAATTCTCTTCTCCACACTAAAATTTCTACCATCTTCATACATTTTCTAAGGTAATTTCAATTTCATGTTTTATATACTTTGTTAATAGCTTTTGATGTGTTATTTGAGTATAATTTTTTTTCAATTTTTCTTTGAATAGAGAAGGAGAATATAGAAGTGTAGATTGTAAAAAGGGACAAGAAGATTGAAGGAGTTACAAGATAAAAGGTATGTCTTGAATTTTTTTCTTCTGAATTTGATTAAATTGCATTGGGTTAAAATTGTTGAATTTGGGTTATATATATATTTTCTGTATTTGAGTTAAATTAAATGTTAGGTTTAATTATTTAGTTTAAAATAATTGTTAATTATTATTTTGTGATGAATGAGTTTAATTATTTTAGGAGTTTAAGTTTTTTTATTTTTAGGAGTTTATAAATTTTTAGTGTTTAAATTAAATTTTTAGGAGTTTAATAAGTTTTTAAATTTTTAGGAGTTTATAAAATTTAGGTGTTTAAATTAAATTTTAAGTGTTTAAAAATATTTTTAGGAGTTTATAAATTTTTAGTGTTTAAATTAAATTTTTAGGAGTTTAATAAGTTTTTAAATTTTTAGGAGTTTATAAAATTTAGGTGTTTAAATTAAATTTTAAGTGTTTAAAAATATTTTTAGGAGTTTATAAATATTGTTGAAAGCATATATTTATCTTTAATTGTATATGTTTAGGATTATTATTAAGTTGATTAATTAATATTTCTAATTAAATAGGTTTTGATTATATAAATTTGCAGTAAATGGAATATTATATGTATTATCGTAGTTGGATGTACGATAGACTATATCCAGGAAGATGCGCACTTAAACCCAATTTTATAGACGGAGTTAATGGTTTTATCGCGTGGACGTTTGCCCAGGAACGTTGTCGAAGTGAAGGAGGAGTTAGGTGTCCTTGTCTTAAATGTGGATGTAGATATATAATTAATGACCCAGAGGAAATAACACGTCATTTGCATAGGAAAAGTTTCATTGAAAATTATTGGGTTTGGACGCATCATGGTGAAACACTGCCGAGTAATGTACCAGAGACTAGCAACACAAATGCTTCAAGTAGTCAATCGGTTATGCAACCACCTATGGAATTTGAAGAAAACTTTAATCTGATAGGTGACATGGTTGGTGATGTTTTTGGTGTTAACGTGACCTATGATCAACCTGAAGACTTTGACGGGGAAGAGTTTCCGAATGAGGAAGCGCAGAGATTTTATCAGTTGTTGAATGAGATGAATACGCCGTTGTTTGAGTGGTCGTCAGACTCAAAGCTATCAATGTGTGTTAGATTATTGGCCGCCAAGTCAAATTGGAATGTTCCTGATCAGTGTTTGGAGCACTTCGCAAAAATGATGTTGGACTCAACTGCAACGAAAGACAACTTGCCTGCGAGTTTCTATGATGCAAAGAAATTGGTGTCGAAGTTGGGTTTAAGAGTAAGAAAGATTGATTGTTGCATTAATGGTTGTATGTTGTTTTATGACAACGAGTTTGGTACTCAAGATGGATCGTTAGAGGAATGTAAGTTTTGTCATATTGAAACTGACGATCTAGTGGAGGATGTTGCTTACCAAGTTGATGAAGTTGAAGTTAATGATGTGATTCCAGATGAACACACTACAAGTTTGTCTGATACAATGGTTGAGGGGAATCAAGTTGATGAGGATGGAGATCATGAAGATTCTGGATCTGAGGATAGTATCACATCAGATGACGATGATGAAATGGATGACGAGCATGACGATTCAGAATAGTGAACCTATATTCATGAGAATTGTGTCTTGTAATTTTACTTAACGAACTATTTATTGAATGATTTAATGAATATGTATTCATGAGAATTGTGTCTTGTAATTTTACTCAAAGAACCATTTATTGAATGATTTAATGAATATGTATTCATGAGAATATGTATATGTTAACTTGTATTTTCTTTAATTAGGTAAAAATGCCACCCAAAGATAATAAGGGTAAAGGTCCTAGTGATAGTGGTAGGAAGCCCAGGCGTCCAAGGGTAGTAGTATGCCAGTCACCTCACTCAGCCACGTGTCCTCCCCCGCAGAGTCAGGTTCATCATATGTCCATGGACAGTACTATGCCATTTACTCCATTACTATCATCTCAGAGTCCTCTTCAGTTCCCATCTGGGAGTACATGTTTTATTAGTCCATCTGGGGCCCCACCTGGTTTACCATTCCAGCAGACACATGTGCCCTCCTCCTTCCAGCAGACACAGGTGCCCTCCTCCTTCCAGCAGACACAGGTGCCATCCTTCTAGCAGACACAGGTGCCCTCATCCTTCCAGCATAGTTTTCCATTTCCCACACAGATGCCCTCATTCGTGCAGCAGCCTGGAGGATCCAACACCCCACTTCCTACATAGATGCTCCCATCTGTCCAGCAACCTGGAGGATCCACCTCTTCACGACCCACACAGACTAGTCGCACCCCCACATCCCACACAGAGTCGGATGATGACGATCTTGGTGTGGATGATGATCAGATAGATGGGAGAGATCTTCGAGGAGATGATGATCCGAGTGAGATTCATACCATTGATGGGAGATTTTGGATATGGCCTGAAGGGAACTCGTAAGTTTCTTATTTATTGATTTTTATTTATAAGTACACATTTCCATTTTTAATATAACTTTATATAATTAATTATGCTAATTAAATTATTGTTGTTTTAGTTTCGGGCCGAGTCGGACTGCTGCTAAGGTTATCAATTATATAATTCAACATAATTATACAAATTTTTTGAAGAGTTTAGAGAAGTTTCCGATAAAGAAGAATGGTTCAAGCAATTTCAGGTATAATTTA